CAGTATAAACCAGTACAAACCAGTAAGGACCAGTACAAACCAGTATAAACCAGTTTAAAGCCTTTTTTCCCAACTTTTCCCCAATTTTTTCCCATTTTTCCCCTTTTTTGGTGGAAAAAATCCCAGTATAAACCAGTATAAACCAGTATGGACCAGTGTGAACCAGTATGGACCAGTATAAACCAGTTCAAACCAGTCTGTACCAGTATAATCCAGTTTAACGCTTTTTTTCCCCAACTTTTCCCCATTTTTTTCCCATTTTTCCCCTTTTTTGGTGAAAGAATCCCAGTATAAACCGGTATAAACCAGTTCATACCAGTATGAACCAGTATAAACCAGTTTGATTATTTTTTCCCAATTTTTCCCACTTTTTCCCTTGTTTTCTCATTTTTGCCCATTTTTTCCCCATTTTTGTTGCACAGAATCCCAGCATAAACCAGTATAAACCAGTACAAGCCAGTAGAAACCAGCACAAACCAGTATAAACCAATTTAAACCCTTTTTTCCCAACTTTTCCCCATTTTCCCCACATTTCCCCCGAATTTTTCCCTTTTTTGCCATTTTTTCCCAATTTTTTCCCATTTTTCCCCATTTTCGGTGGACAAAATCCCAGCACAAACCAGTACAAACCAGTTTAAAGCCCTCCCAGCCCCCTCCCAGTACAAACCAGTATAAACCAGTACAAACCAGTTTGCGTCTCCCTCCCGCAGCAGCTGAGGCTCCCCAGAGCCTCGTAGGCGGCGCCTCGGACCCGGCACTGGGGGAACTGGGAGGGAACTGGGAGTTACTGGTTTGGACTGGTTTGGACTGGGAGGGGGGGCGGGGGTTACTGGTTTATACTGGGAGGGAACTGGGAGGGGCTCACCTGGGTCAGATCCAAGATGGCCGCCAGGAGGGGCTCCAGGTGGGGCAGGAGGGCGGAGCTGGGGACCAGTATAAACCAGTATAAACCAGTATGGACCAGTATAAACCAGTATAAACCAGTATAAACCACTATGGACCAGTTTAAACCAGTATAAACCAGTATGGACCAGTATGGACCAGTATAAACCAATATGGACAAGCATAAACCAGTATAAACCAGTATAAACCAGTATAAACCAGTATGGACCAGTACGGACCAGTTTAAACCCATTCCCAGTACAAACCAGTAACCCCAAACCCATTCCCAGTACAAACCAGTAACCCCAAACCCATTCCCAGTACAAACCAGTAACCCCAA